AAGAAGAAGAAGAAGAAGAAGAAGAAGAAGAAGAAGAAGAAGAAGAAGAAGAAGAAGAAGAAGAAGAAGAAGAAGAAGAAGAAGAAGAAGAAGAATCAATATTTTATTATTATGTATTGTTGTTATTGTTGTTGTTGTGATGATTATGATTATGACTATTATGACTATGTTTACTATGACTGTTATTATTTTATGATTATGATTATTGTGATGTTTATTATTGTTATTATTATTATTATTCTTTTCATTACTATTATTATTATCATCAAATATCCTATTATTATTAAGTTCATCTCTAGCAAGCACTAGATTTGTATTTTATATTAATATTTGTAATGTGTGATAAACATAAGCAAAAAGTAAGAGTTTAAAATATCATTCCACTAGGGTATCCTTTAGGAAGCATGTCAGATTTCTATCTCTTCAAATGGTGAATCAGCGACATCAGATTAATGAGGTACCGTTTGATTAACCCCCAAATAAAACACGATGGAAGTCAAAGTCTTTCTTTTTTTTTCAAATTCAGAATTGAGCGATACCATCAGTTGTCAATAGAGTGTGGTTAGTCCCACGACCACTCACAGTTTGTTTATGAAAAGACTTTTTTAACCCTATCCGCACGTCGTGTTTTACTATCGTATTCATACGACGTGGGGAACTCTGTGCCCCCACTTTCCAAAGAGGAAACCTACATTTTAATCTGATCCGTATACTTTGCATAGCAGTCTGTCAAAATAAGTTTTTGAGAAATACTGAAAGTTTCAAAGAGATCTTTGCACTAGAAGTGTTTTTAAAGTGGAAAGAAAACAACTCTGAGGGTACATTAATAACCCATGGGCGTACGGATAGGATTAATGTTTCTGTTGTTGTTTGTGTTTGCTGTTATTGTTTATTTTTGTTATTTGGTTTACTCGTCCGTTGGTTCGTTTTTCGATTGTTGTGGAAAGTCGTTTTCAGGAATGTAGGTCAACAACTGTTTTTGAGTGTGTCTCTGATCCGTGATTATCCGTGTTTATCCGTTCTGGTTGTGTCCAGTGCTACTCGGTTCTTTAGTAACTCTGTCTTGCCTTACTTTATTATTGTTGGTTCTTTAAACATTTATTGTGATAATGTGGTGTAATTCAAAAAAAAAATGTACCCAGTTAGTTTTGACAATGCCTCTTTGAATGTTTCCCAGTTTCTGTCTTTCTGTTTTTGTTTTTTTAATGCCTTTGCTTTGATTTTGATACAGGACTTTTTTTTTTATTTATTAGATTTTTGCAATGACAGCTTATGCTTGAGTAAGCTTTTTTTTGTGTTTGGTTGGGATTTTTTTTTTTTTTTTTTGTTTCTCACCAGCAGTACAAAATATAAAGGCGTACAGGGACAGTCTTGCTCATTTTGATTTATTTGTCCTGTTTTCAACAGGCGATTTTAGACTTGGCCGAACCTGATGATAATAGCTTATTAATCTCTCTTTGAATTGCCTAGTGTCTCATAATCTTTGTTTTTTAATTGATTTTATGTTTAGTACATAGTTCTATAACTGATATAATCGGTATCTGTTTGGAAGAATAAGAAATGATTAATGCAAGTAATATCCACCTACAGTAAATGAAGTTAGATAATAATACCTGTTGGATAGATTTTTAGTGTTATGTTATGTTATAATCTCTTCACACAAACTCATGAAGATTTTTTTCCCCTGTCTACTTATGTGAGTTGCTAAAACGTATTTAAAAATGTACATGGTAGATTTGTAGATGCCTAAGCAGAATGATGGATATATATATACATATAAATATATATAAACATATACATATGTGTGAGGCATCATGGTGAAATCAGGCGCTCGTCAAAATTATGAAATCAAAGAAATCTGTATTTTTGGGGGTCGATGGGTAATTTTTTTCAAATTTTAATTTTTTGACTCAACACATTTTGTTTCCATTTTTTTAAAAACACATTGATGTGTGGATTTTACATAAAAACATTGATTTAAGGCACAAAAATGTAAATTTTCAGTTTCCAAGGACTCTCAGGCTATGGAAGTTACCAAACTGACATTTTCTGGCTAATTTTATCTCTGAAACCAGATGATCCTGACCTTCCTTCAATCGCAAATATTTCGACTTTTATTCAAAATAGATTATATATTTTCACCCAAAGGAAGGCAAATGAACAGGCTTTGAGATAAAACCATAACTCCATATGCCCAAAAGTAGGTGAACACCTGATTCAACCACGTAGTAACACACATATATGAATATGTTTTAACAGTGAGAAAACGTGCTTTGTTAAAGAGGTCAGACAGAGATAATAGCATCTCCTCCTTGTTCCAGGCTAGAATACACGCACTTTTATATAGTTCTGGAGTCTAACTAACCCTTTTCCTTAGCTTCTGCTAGGATATTTCGTTGTCTTCTTACTACTAAGTGCCACCGTTACCGTCTTGGGGAACAAGAGATTTTCTTATTTGTCTCCTGGTTTGTCCACGAAACATTGGAACTGGTTCATCAATCCTATCTTTTTCTTTCTTTTTCTTTTTTCTTTTTTTTTTTTTTTTTTTTTACTTTTTTTTTTTTTTTACCTCTATGCTGAACAAATTGAACACACATCTGTTACTTATTATGCTCAACTTCATGAACGGTTCACTTCAACTGGGTTTGTTTTTCTTTTTCTACGACAAGTGACTTTGTACTGCTCGCACTCCAACATTTGATTTGTTACGACATTTCACCTGTATATATTTGTACGTAATTTCCTGTGATTACTCTCTCTGATTATATGTCCATTCATTCATGCAATCAATCCTCTTATCAACACAGAACGTTTTTAATCGTTATTTAATACCTCGATCAATCTTCATTCATGATTGAAGTGCTTCAGGCTAGACTCCCCTGTTAAGGCTAGAGAGATGAGCCGAGTAAGCCTGATTTCCCGTTTGGACTTCTCTGTTGACCTTATGCAGTTGCAAGCACCATAAAATCTTATTAAAACTAAAAAATAATCCCCTGTCCTTATGCTTTATGGGGTGCAATGACAGCCACAAAATGGACAAACGTTATTTTCTTGAGTAGAGAGATCTTCGGTTTTGGTGTCAATATTTTATATCAATGATATTTATTATGAAAAGGAAGTTATTTAATGAAGCTTATCAGAAGTTGGAATGTTTTTTGACTTCTTGATTTGTAGGTTGGAAGAGACTGTTGTTGTAAGTTGAAAGACAAATTGCTACCTTTTAAAAAAAATAATTATTAATGATGTTTGAATACAGTGCAAGATGTGATGGCTCTTACGCAAGTCCACTGTCAAAATAGAAGAAGGCAGACTCTTTTTTATATCACTATAATAGCTCTGGTGTGTTAATGTTCTTTGTGATCCAAGTGTTAATGTTGACATCTGTTCGTGCGCTCTCTCTCTCCCTCCTTTTTTCTTCCTTTCTTTCTCACCCTCTCTCTGTCTCTCTCTGTCTCTCTCTCTCTCTCTCTCTCTCTCTCTCTCTCTCTCTCTCTCTCTCTCTTTCTTTCTTCTCTCTCCCACCTTTTTACTTTCTTTCAAACTTTTTTCCTGTCTCTTTTTCCCTTCTCTCACTTCCTCTCCCTCCTACCAACCTTCTCACCCTCTGTCACTCTTCTGATTCCCACTCACTGGTCTTTCTCTCCATCATTGTGTATTGTCAATCTTGTTTTGTTTCGTTTTTCTATGAAAACTAATTGAACTAATAAAGTTTCAGAGCTTCATACTTTAGAAATTGCACCAATATTGTTACAGGCAATAAAAGTTGTGTAGAAAGCAGAAAAAAATAATTCTGAAGCCAAAATCCTGAAAAAGACTTGGACAAAACAATATTATTGTGCTGCACAATAAAAACCAATTTATCAGTGAAAAGTGTTTTGCTATTTTCAAATAGACCTAGAATCAAGTAATTTCATCATTTTTGAAAACTATTTTTAAAGTGAGAGAAAGAAAAAACACACGAAAATACAACAATATTTGATTTGGTTCTTCACAGCATCTCCAGGTCAAGTCCTGACTGTCCCTAGGTTCGCCTACCGATTTTACAAAGCTATT